CTTCCTCACTGACCTGGGTGTCTGCAGGGTTACTTCTCTCACATCCCCCTTCTTTGCTCACCATCAAAGAACTATGAACAAAGAACTCAATAGCAGGTTATTTCACTCTTAAATACAGTTATTTGCAGAGGTGCTGGTTGGCCTGGCCTTTGCCAGAGACGGCTCCAAAATTAGATCCAGGGGAGCTTCTCAAAGCCTCTTACAGGAGCCACCTCTGTAGCCCCCTCCCCTGCTACCAAAACCCCCCCAGATGCCAGACCACCACAGAGCCATTTTACAGAGAGACCTGGACAGGCTGGCCCAGTGGGCTACCAAGAAGTGTGTGAGGTTTAACAGAGATGAGTGCAAGGTCCTGCACCTGGGATGACATAGCCAAATTGCCCAGTACAGGCTAGGATCTGTGTGGCTGGGGAGCAGCCTTGCTGAAAGGGACCTGGGGGTCCTGGTGGACAACCAACTGAAAAGGAGTCAGCAGCGCACTGCTGCAGCAACAAAGGCAGATCGGATCCTGGGCTGCATCCGCAGGGGCATTGCTAGCAGAGACAGAGATGTGATCATCCCACTCTGCTCAGCCCTTGTCAGGCCGCACCTGGAGTACTGTGTCCAGTTCTGGTCCTCACAGTTTGAGAAAGACATGGAGAGACTGGAGGGAGGGACCAAAGGGGGGCCATGAAGGTGATCAAGGGGCTGGAGAAACTGCCCCATGAGGAAGTTAAGACTGAAGGAGTTTGGTTTCTTCTCACTGGAGAAGAGCTGGCTCAGCAGGGGACTTCATCACAGTATTCCAGTACTTAAAGGGTGGCTGCAAAGAGGACGGAGGCTCTTTCCTCCCAAGGAGCCACATGAAGTTGACAAAGGGTAGTGGGTACAAGCTGCATTGGGAGAGGTTTTATTGCAATGTAAGAAAGAAAAGTTTTTTACAGTGAGAACAATCATTCACTGGAACAACCTTCCCAGGGATGTGGAGTCTGCATTGCTGGAGCTTTTCCAGATGAGATTGGATGGGGTGCTAGATGATCTCCTCTGGTCTCCCTTTCCCGCAGAAGGTTGCGCCAGAGGACCTTTCAAGGTTCCTTCCAACCTTGGCTGTTCTGGGGCGATTCTGTATCGCTGAGTATAACTGTATTGTCTGCACAACACGGGAGATCACACTAGATGACGATGGTTCTCAGTAGATGTGTTCTAGAAAAAAAGATATGTTAAAATGGGTACTAAGGTGGACAATCGTTTTCCTTCTCAAGTGATGTTTGTATTCACTGATTTATTTTTATTTTTTTTTAATTAAGTGTATTAATAGTTTGGATTGGGTCTTTTCCACTGAATCTGCTGTACCTTGTATAGCTAATGGTCACTTCCTCAGTTCCTGATGTCATCTGTATCTGCAGTTATTATTATGTCACTTTAGAAGTTCAGTATATGGTTGCTTTAAAAAATGACCAGACTGACACCTTGACAGTATTGATTATCTGGGCATTGAGGCCCACTGCTGAGCTGTGAACCATTCTTTACCTTTATTGATTTCAGTTAAGGATGACATTCATCTAGCTTGTAACTGCACACGTCTACTGTTTTGGCACTTTCTTGTGTGGAAGTGTTTCTAGAAAGCATTATTATGGCAAATGTGAGTAAGATAATCTTTACAGTGTTGGGAAATGTATTTTCCATAAAGAGATGTATGGCAGGGAACTACATTTACAGCTCTTCAAGATGTACTGTGTACAGCATGGAAGCACCAAATAGTCATATTTATAATTTGAACTAACTGAAAGAAGGAGTCATCCTGTGATAGGTTAGGGAAACAAACTGTAGGACAGTGTCTTTCTCTTGCAGGTAGACAGAACATCAGCACAACCAGTATTAGCAGAAAAAACACCTCGCAGGATAGAGTGTATGCCTCTGATAAACAGCGAAACCAGTTTCTCTCCATATATTCAATCTCCTACCTAGTAACAGTCTAGTAACATTATGTAATTGGTGTTTTCTGCTTATAGGAGAGCTGGAGGGTAATAAGACTTACCTTTGAATCCAGTTATGAGGAAGAAACTGTAATATCTAGTTACAAAGAAAGTGGGATCATAGAATTTTAATATAGTAAGGAATAATTAAAAAACAAATTGAAAGCTACCCTCTTGACAGCCTGTCTTAAAACAGGCCTGTGAAAGAACTGGCTCAGTTGCCTGAACTACAGCCTTTATGGGTGCACTTGCCCACTCTGTCCTAACAGTGAAATGAAAGTAACCCGGTAAGAGCCGGGCTTCAGGTGCTGGCGCTTTGCAGCTGCTTCGTGGCCTTGAGCTTCTTTAAACTGGGGAGGTCCTAGAAGATGTTGGTGAGCGCTGCACTCCTGGCTTGTGGATTTCTGATACAGGCCAGGATGCTGTTGGCCTTCTTGGCCACCTGGGCACGCTGCTGGCTCGTGTTCAGCCAGCTGTCGACGGCACCTTTCCAGCCACTCATCCCCAAGCCTGTAGCACTGCATGGGGTTGTTGTGACCCAAGTGCAGGACCCAGCACTTGGCCTTGTTGAACCTCTTACAATCAGCCTTGGCAACAAGTTAGGTAGCAGTGCTTGAAAACTTACTCTGATATGACAAAAATAAAACTTTTTGAGAATCTGTTGCCTCTCTTGGTAGTTGTTTCAGTTATTAGTGACCACTCATGTCTACCTGGATAGCATGACACTGTCTTTTCTCGTCTTAAAAATTCATGTTCCATAGGCGTGTGAACATTGACAATATTATATATTTGATAAATAGCCTTTGATAGTTTGGGATTTTTTAAGCTTTTTTAACTTCAGTACACGCTTATACTGTTTTTCAGCTCTGCTGCCATAGTGTTTTACTGTGCTAACTTTTTAAAAATGACATTAGTGGGAAAAAAAGAGAAAAAAAAAAAGTGGGGCTGCTTTTTTTCTGCTGGAATACATAACCTTAATCTGACACCTCATGTTCTTTCTGAAGGATAGCTTTTGGCCATGCTGTGATAAACTGGTTTAAAATTGTTCTGTATTTTCTTTTTGAGCCTCGTGTTCTTTCCAGCTGCATTGATTCATGGAAGTTTTCAGCTTGGTGCAATTGCCTTTTTACAGCTCTTGTTCCAGGGATGGGCGGTATTTTTGCATTGGGCATTGTCTTGTGTTGTCAGTTCTGAGGGAAATAGCAACTTCAGCCTCAAAAATTGCCTGAAACTTTCTAAAATGATTTGCTAGTCTATCTGTCTGTGTCTCTTCATATCGTGAAGTACTTAGATTTGAACTATCAGATAAGGTCATGGTGCCTTCTGGAAACACTAGGCAGCTTTGAGGTCTCTCGTATCCCTATGTCCAAATTAGAAGTGACTTTTGAATGCGGACTATTTTTTTGTAATTATGTTGGGATTTAAGTGACTGAAAGATGTTTTGAAGCTTAATTTATAAGACCTAAGTATTTCTGTTGAAGTTAACCAGTGCGGCTAGCATCTTCTTTTGACTTTCCACGACTTTATCTGTAATTTAAACGCACAGAATTGACTGATTGATACTTTCAGTTTTGAAGAATGAGTTGCAGAAATGCTGTTTCTGTCCTTCAGTGATTTTTTTGTATGAAGTTTGTCATTTTAAACGCCTTTGCAAAAACGTGTTAGCAGCTTCAGAATAACCTAAAAATACTTTCTGTTGCTTTTGCTTGTGCGTGCCAGGTACTGTGCACTAGGTGTCAGCATTTGTCCACTTTCCGAACTCAATATTGCTTGTTACTAGGATGGAGACTTGGAAGTAGTCGGTGGCTTCGAGTTTCTGTGGCAGTTTCTTCTTGGCTGTCTGATTTCAAAGCAAAATTGTCACTCAAAGCAGAGGGGAAGGGATGGTTACTTGGGACTTGTGCCAATGTATTGATAAGCTAAAGAAGCACATGCTGGTGGTTACTCATCAAGTTTGTCTCAACTTTAAGCCTAATGGGGCTTAATCTTTCACTAAATTTTTCCTTACTGGTTGGCAGACTGCATATGTATCGTATTGTGGAATGAAAATTTTGTGGTTTACAAGATCAGGGACATACAGAAATTGAGACAGTAGTTTCTTTGGTTTCATAGCCCGAGATTTCAAGATTAATAATTAGATTTAATCTTAAAGGGATGAAAATGTTTAACTTGGTAGATCAATAGATTTTGAAAGTGGTATGTTTTTGTGTTCTTATTACGCACATACCATGTTGAATATCTTCCATAAAATGTGGAGCTGTTAAGCTGTTATTGCCTGTTTTGACTCTTCACTTGTTAGTGCTACGGACAAAGTTGATCAAGAACTCTGCTTTTCTTAGCTGTGGAACTTGAAGCAAGCTTAAGTTTTCTTGGCAGCAAAAGCTGTCGTGACTGGCTATATGCAAAATCACTGGCCTTCTGTAGTGTTGCAGATACGTCTACTACATTTTTTTCCTCCTATTTTTTTTTAAATGCAGATATATGCTTTAAAATTTTGATTAAAACCAATCCATTTCTCTTTTCCTTTTAAATTTCAGCTTTCAGAAGAAGAAAAAATTCAGCGTTACAGCATTCTTTCTGAGCTGTATGAACGAATTGGTTTTCACCGAAAGTCCGCTTTTTTCAAGCGTATAGCAGCAATGCAGTGCGCTGCCCCCAGCATCCCAGAACCTGGGTGGAGGGCCTGCTACAAACTGCTTTTGGAAACCCTCCCTGGCTATAGCTTATCCTTGGATCCTAAAGATTTCAGCAAAGGTGAGTGTCTCTGGGAAAATATGGATGAACATAGTAGGTCATGCAACTGGCTTTCTGTAACTCTCTCCTTGCGAGACTTCAAATTAAACCAAAATCATTTACCTTTCTGAAACTAATTGCGGCAAATAGAGCAGTTCTTTAATAGTGAACCTTCACTTTTTCTTAGTATTGCATTCAATAATTTCAAATTTCTGAAAGCCACTGCTGAATGTGTTGCTGTGTTCTTGTGTTTGCAGGAAATAATTATGTTTTATTTACAAGAGCTTAATTTTGACTTTTTTTCAAAAATGTGTTTGTTTTTGTTCCTATACTTCTTTATGTTTTATTTACAAGAGCTTAATTTTGACTCTCTTTCAAAAATGTGTTTGTTTTTGTTCCTGTACTTCTCGGTACAAAAAAGGGAATATTTTATTTTTGAGTATTTTTTCAATTAAAATGCCTTCAACTTGTTATCAGAAATTGTATTTCTTTTGGTATTTGTTGCTGTTTTGATCTTTTAATGACACAAAGATTCTTTTACTTTTTTTATATAGGCACACATACGTACATATAATGTGATTATATCTGTATCTGTAGGGTCAAGTATGTCACACTTTTCCACAAATTAGATCAGAGTGATGTTATCTGCAAGACTAGCATTTGGTTAAGACATTTCAACAGATTTTAGATGCTATATATCATTTGAATTACTGTTTTATTGCATCTATTAAAAACCAAAGGAAAAATAGTCAGTAAGAACAAATGCCAGTTCTTGTAGCTGTTAAATACTGTGTTCACTTTTTGCAAGTTATGTGCTGTTTGCTGCCCTTCCTGAGGTAAGCTATGTTTCAGCAATTTTGTCAATGTTATCTGAACCTGTATATAAAATAATAATTTAAAAAGTTGTCTTCATTTCAATACACTGTGCTGCATTTTTCCTCTAAAGGAAGAGACAGCTACTGTGCTGCTTGGGAACTCCTTTTGAGTAAACCTTTCCACATTGCCCCAAAACTTGCATTCTTTTGTACAGCAGTATTTTTGGGGACTACTCGCTAAATGTTGTAGCTGTAGGAGAGGAGCAGCAAGCAACAGGCTGAGCGTATGTTGGTGGAAAGAAGGTGGAGTTCACCAGTACGAAAACTCTGAACTGGTTTAAATAAGATTGAGCAACAGCTGGTATATTCTTCTCCCTTTTGTGAGAGTACATTGACTATTGTTGGGATTTCAGTTTGATTTTTGTCTTGTGAGGTCAGTTGTTTCTGTCTATGCTACGTCACTTAGCCATTGAAATAATGGCACTATCTAGGCACTTCAGTCAAGGGAGAATGTGGAGAAACTCATCTGATGAGCCACTAGGTGATAGTTCCCAAGCTCTCTTAGCTCTGTTGATGAAACAGGCATGTAGACATCCCCTATACGTGTGGATGGTTAGGTTTTTTTTTTTAAAACTGGTGTGATTTTAACAGTCACTGAAAGAAATGGTATGTGAGAGGAGGCATAAAATGCCATGTGGACTAGACACAAAGATGCAAGGAGTCTAGGAAGAGGGAATGTGCTAGAAAAAATACGCTGTGGCCTATAATGGAAAAGACGACTGGGATGGGACTGGGTTGGGAGAAAAGCTTGCAGAAGTTCTGCAAGAAGTGGTGATTAAAAAAGAAAAAAAAGTAACATGGTAGCTGTTTTATCTTTCATTTTTACCTTACCTTTATGTTGCACTGAAGTGCTTTGTCAGATTTTACCCCTAAAATGGCTGTTTCAGAGACATCTGAATATCCCTGTAAGCCATAAGAACTACTTGATAAGAACAACATTTTACATAAGAAAAATAATGAGACACTTGTGTGCAAAATATAAACTCTCAGGGTTTGGTTGCAGTAAGTATGTCTAGAAAAGTCTGCCAAATGCTGAAGGGTAATATTGGAAGGAAGGCTGTTTAGATGTCTATGAAGTATTGTACGTCTTGGAGTAGTTGTTACTTAAAAATTATTGCTTTTGCTTACTACTAAAAGCAGGTTAGTTTCATGACGAGTACCGCATATTACATTTTTGAAAGAAAAGTTATATTATGATGATCTATTTATTGTTACCATAGATACTTTGCAAATATGAAATAATTTATAGACTGAAACTTAGTTTTTAAAGACCGAAAATCAGGAAATGTGGCTCATGTCCTGCAGTTCTATTGCTTTTTGCTGACTTTTAATGGTGAGGAAAGTGCTTGGAGAAAATATCTTTTGCTTAATTTTTAAAGGGGCTGAAGAAGTACTTGATTTGGATAGAAATGAAGTTTTTATGTGCATTCTTATGTGAATTTTTGTTCAGAGAATTAAAAAAATATAAAACTTTAAAGGTTTTATGTATCACTTTGTTTTTACTTCATTGGAAGTGTTAATGTAATTTTCTGAATTCTAATATAAATTTATTAGTCAACAGACAAGCATATAAAACAAAAATTGCCTTCACATTTAAATAGTCAAGGAAACTCAAAGATCCTAATTTTTCTTTGCAGTACAAAGTTTGGCTTTTGTAATTATTGATTCCATTGGGTGATTTTTATAAGTGTCATTAAATTACTGCTTAGTACATAAAGAAAACCAAAACCAATTAGTTTGTGATGAGTTCTAGCTTTAAAAAGTATTAAATGACTGCTTACTTTATAGGGACTCATAGAGGATGGGCTGCAGTACAGATGCGTTTGCTTCATGAACTAGTCTATGCTTCCAGAAGAATGGGCAATCCTGCTCTATGTGTCAGGCATCTGTCTTTCCTTCTCCAGACCATGCTGGATTTTCTTTCTGATCAAGGTATGATTTTTAAAAGAAAGAGATATTTGCACTTTCTTCTGCCCTACAGTCAAACAATGGTGTCTTTGTTTTGAAATGTACTTGGTTTGAGAAGTAGAGGAGAGCACAGAAGTCAGGGAAATCTGTGTATGCATGAGGTGGCTCGTTGATGGTAATCAATTGCCTATACAGTGTTACTAGTTTTAAATGTTAAACACATCTGACCATGATGTGTGGTATCTGAAGTAAAACTTCCGTTTATGTTTTCCATCCATAGATTGATTGCCTCAAGCCTGATGCTTTATTTCCTCTATAAATATTAAGAATATGATCAGAGGGCTTAATTTGCTTGTGGATTAAAAAGAGAAGTGTTATTTAAATCTACTAGCAGCTTTTGTAAGTGCTGTTAATGAAGAGATTGAGAGCACATGAGGTTGAAAATTAAAGTCAGAAAATAAGTGTGTACAGTAGTTCAGACTGAGTCTACCATGAGTTTTCTGATGAAACATTCATACGGTGGATACAGAATTCACCTAAGGGAGCAGGCACGATCCTTGTCTCCATATTTGAGACAAGGAACTTGTAGAAGCTGAACGTGATGGAATTAAACAGTGTTTCGCTGGGATGGTAGGGTTAAGTGTCTGTGGTTTCTTTCAAAAAATTTTTTTAAAAAATTCAGCCATAAATTTCAGTGGGATTTATTAAATTTATCAGTGGAGGACAATGGAATGACTGTGTCTGGATCATTTCTGGAGATGGTGATGATGTGTGTGAGGACCCGTTTGTGGGGGAGGGCCACGCAGCATTTACAAAATCACCAGGAAAAGCAAAAAGTGACAACTGTTAGGTGTGTATTATGTTGCTGAGGAAAAACATTTCAGAGGTTTGTTTGTTGCCCAGGTTAATGAGATTGAAGTAGTGGTGAAAGGTTTTGAAAAATGGTTTTGATTGATTGAATGCTAAGTAAAAAGTACATTTTGTTTCAGTTATTCCCTTGTTTATGATAAAGAGGATGGGAGTAGAGTGGTGTAGGTTTTTTTTCTTTTCTCCTTTAGTTATGGCCAAATGTCTTTCCTTGGTGACTTTGCTGGTAGCTTTAGCTCTTTGCCTGCTAGTGAATTCCCTCTATTCAGCGGCTCAAATCAGTAGTGGAGGAAGGAAGGAGAGGAACTGAGAGGAACGGCTAACCTGGAATAAATTACCTTTCTGTCTGTAGATCTTACTTGCTGTCAAAAGGTCCTTGGTTTTTCCAGGACTTTTAATGAAGCTTCGTTGATTTATGTATGGGAAGTTTGGCTAAAGACAAGCTTTTAAGCTCTTCTGCTATGCATGTCCATGTATGATACTGCTAATCCCTAATCCTAAAAACGTTTGAAGTCTTAAAGAGAAGCAACTTTTGTGTTTGTCTTTAGATGTTATGTGTCTGAGTAAAGCTGCCAATTTCATACGACCTATGGTAACTGTGATGTTTAGTGTTTTTGAAAAATCAAACTAAATGTTCTCCAGTGTGTTTGAAAAGTAGCTGAATCTTTTTCTCTTCTTTCCCAAAGACAACCAAAATAGAACTTGTTGTGTTTGAAGTCTTTTATTGATAGCGTGTTGCTCTGACACGGTTAGTGGTGTTCCAAACCAGATAGAGTGTGGATGACAGTGCCAGAAACGTATTTCTGGCTGGTAACTTCTTTGTAATTCTTCTGAGATTGTTATTGTGTGATGTTGTGCAAGAGTCCATTTAGCATAGAAAATTACTTTAAATTTGCAGTTCTTTTTAAGAATATCGGAATATTAGGAAAAAATAAACCAACAAAACCCCTTCAAACTTGCATTGTAGTAAAGGACAAAAGCAAGAGGATTTGAATGTGTAGGATTATGCTACTTACTATTTTAAGTCTGTGAACTGTTTCCCTTGTCTTATGAACTTAAAGTGTTGTAATTAGTATTCTTCTCTGCACATGACTGAAACTTCCAGGTTTTCTTCACCAATAAAAGGTTTAATTGGGAAGCTGAAGTAATGCAGTAGGATTGGAGTTCCAGAATGCTAATATTTTATTTTTCTGTGCTGCATAGAAAGTTGCCAGTTACTAGGTGGAGGAAAACTCACTCTTTTTTAAAACTAAGTTTTTACCTGAATGTCTGTTTTCATAAATCAAATAAACTTCATATTTTTAAAGCTTGTAATTGATAATATATGTTAAATCCTGCACATTTATTTAGAATTCAGGTAGTTTGCAGATCATCTTCAAAACCAGAACAAATAGAAGCGAAAACTCGAAGCTGAAAGTAAGTTACCAGCTAAACATTTGGCACTGGAACTTGATCTTCTAACCCTTTTTGTCTCAGGATTAGCTGCCTCTAGACAGAAAAGGAATATTCTCTCATTCTAGTTTGTTAATCTAATTCTGTTCATTTACTAGTTCAGTTGAAGTTCAGATACTGGGACTTGAGAAAACAGAAAAAAAATTGATTTCTTCAGGTAGAAGTTCAGAAGATGACATTTAGTAGTTATAAAGATCTATTAATTAGAAGCTCTTCCTTCTGTTCACAGAACGCAGATGCATGGTCAAAACTGGTTTCTGTTTAAAACAAAGTTTTCTTGTATTTCAATTAAATGGTACTTGATAATTACTTTAAATACAACTTTTGTATACGTTTACTTGAATTACAATTTCCAGCCATGCAGCCTGGCAAAACTGAATAAAAAGTATCGTTAAGTAAATGGGAGATGTCAGTCACTATTTTAACAACATGGAAGTGAAGAGTGATTTAAAATTAAGCTATTTAGTTACATAAATATGTAAAAAGCAGTCTTCTGCTTAGCAAACAGAGGTACAAAATTCTACATAAAAGCTGTCTAATCTCAAGCCATTATGTTTTAATGTTAACAAGCCCTTCAGAATCAGTCTTTCTTTGAATAAGAATTAAAATGTGCAATTGCAAAGTTGCTTGGAATGAAATCTATCTCTTTTGTATAATGCTTTTTGAAACCTAACACTGTGTGTACAGCTCACACTGAAATTTATTCGGGTAAGGTCAGATACTTGGAAAAAAACCCAGTATTTATTGTGGATCTTCACTGATAATATCCATACTACTTAAAAGGACTGTGATTTGTATTGTGTGCAAATGATTCTGAGTTGGCTCAACTATTAGGGCCTGTCTAAACACAGAGCTACTTGGAAGCAGCTGTTATGAAATGTGACACAGAAACCACTTACAGAGGCCATGTCTGTCACCCCTGCAAGCTCCCATTCTTTCAGACATTCAGAAGGTTTCCAACTGTTGTGCCTGCTGATTTGCTTTTGGTGACAAGGATCTCGGTGCATTGAGGTGACCTTTTCTCACCATTCATGGTATGGGATGAAACTAGGAATGCTTCATTCCTTTTTCTTGTGGGCGAGTTCAGTTCATTAAAGATCCTCGAAGTCTGTCTATTTTATTATTTGGGAAATAATGTACGCTTTTCAGTGCTTCTCAGTATACCTCTGCATTAAGATCTTCCTGTTCAGTGATTATTGTTTAGCTTAGGTTTTTTCAGCCTTCTAGTGAGATGACAGATGATCTTACATCTAAGATCTCTACTGCTCTGTCTGTTGTGTACTTAAAGTACTGACTCTATGATGATTCTGCCTTGCATTAAACATGCAGAAGTCATTTTTCATCTGTTGACCAGTGTTCTGGATGTCTCTGTTCTTGAGTTGAGTGACAGTAGGTGATGGAGAGAACAGTATCTAGAAGTACTCCCTGAAACATCGTAGGGTGCCTTCCTGTCATTCCTGTGCGTGGTTGATTCTTCTGTCATTGGATACCACTGTTAATTCCAGCTGCATCCTGTGTTACCAGACTTCAGCATAGAGGCTGGTTCCCAAGGCAGTTTGGCAGGGATTTGAGATGGTGGAGGCTAAAATGAAGGTGCAAGTTGGCCTTTTGACATCAGTTCTACCTGTCAGTCCTGGATAGTCAGCAGGCAAAGACAAGACAAATTACAATGTTCCATACTTTTTCTTATCTCCATCATGGTTATTGATTTTGGATAAAGCCTACATGATTGTCTGACCTCTCTTGGGACCCTCTAGGTGCTTCTCTAGCCGACTGGATTGTCAGCACAGGTACTGTTACAGCATTAGCGTGGCCTTTGGTGTCTCAAAATGTCTGTTCAGCTGCTCTTATCATTCCCTAGTGTGGTGGTTTGGTGTCCGCTGGGGTTTTGGTAGCGGGGGAGGGGGTTACAGAGGTGGCTTCTGTCAGAGGCTTTGAGTGGGGGAGGGGGTTACAGAGGTGGCTCCTCTAAAAGGCTTCAAGAAGCTCCCCTGGCTCCAATTCAAACCTGCCTCTGGGCAAGGCCAAACCAATGGCTCCTCTGTGAATAACTATTTAAGAGTGAAAGTACCTGTTGATTGTCTGCTTTTGTTTTGTCTGTTTGTGTTGGTGAGGGGGAGAGAGAAGGGGGATGGGAGAGAGACAACCATGTGGACACCCAGGTCAGTGAGGAAGGAGAGGGGGAGGTGTGCCGGAGCAGAGGTTCCCTTGCGGCCCATGGTGGGGTGGCGGCTGAGCCCCTGCTGGGCACGGATATCAGCGGTGGCACAGAAGTTGGCCTGCAGCCCGCAGAGGACCCCAGGCCGGAGGAGCAGGGACCGGGCCCGAAGCAGCCGTGACTCCGAGGCAGCCCGCGCTGGAGCCACCCGTCGGTGGGAGGGCGGCAGCCCCCGGAGGGACCCGCGCTGGGGGGTTCTGGGGAGCTGCGGCCCTGCGGGAAGGACTCACATTGCAGCAGTTGATGGAGGAATGTCTGCCATTCTGCCTTGAGAGGGACTGCTGCTTCGTTGTCCTCAGAGAGGTCCTCACAGCCTTCCCCTACCCCACTGTGGGGTCCCTCTCATATTTATCTTTCTATTGATGCCATGAAGAAATTTGTTTGGACCTAGAAAATTAAAAGCAATGTATTTGGCTTCATTGCAAGTACACCTTCCATAGAGATATGCCCACCCCAGAGTGCATACTCATCAACCCTGGCCACAGTC